TATTAATTTAATAGAAAAAGGAAAGGAAAAAAAGCACTATTGCACATCAGCTCTGACAAAACCCTCAATTGTTTTTACATGGATGTTATTTTGCCATTCAATTTTGTTTCCACAGCATGCTATTAAATTTTTTTCAGATGTCACTCATTAAAAATATGGGGCATACTTTCCACTGTCATCCCAGACAAGAAATTCAAACTTACATAAAGCCAGCCCTGCTTTGAGTGGATTCTTGGCATAGCCACATTCAAAGAAATGACAGAACCCATCAGGAAATTAAAACAATTAAAATCTTTCTGTGCCAGTCAAGAAAATACTAAAGGGCAAATGAACAAAACTTCGGAAGCAAGCCTGAGCCTGTAAGTACAAATTTAGAACTGTATCGTGTGACACACTAACAGTAAGTCATACCAAGGCTTGTAATGGTGTTGTGATCAGAGCAGCTGGCCTGGAAGCTGACCCTGGCTGGCAACATTCAAAGTGAATAGACAAAGCCCTAGCTGAGCGAGGAGGCCCAGAGAGCAGCTGTCACAGTTCTGCCAAGGACCTTCCTTCACAGGGAGAAGCTGGGCTCCAGGAGGAAGCAGCAAGCTTTAGAGGCCCTTGAAGGATGCTTGATGGTACCCTTTGCAGGGCTGGGGATTTAGCTCAGAGGTTCAAGCCCTTACCTGGTAGGGGTAAGGTTATGAGTTTGATCCCTGGTACCCCCCAAAAAAGTTATGTCTTGCAAACCCAGCATTTGAGACCACAGACCTACAAAATGTGTCAATTCAAGAGTGTCCCATGCCACAGAATGATTATTTGGCAAACATTCATGCACCTTTGATGCATTTTCACATTTTTATTTCAAAAAATAATGTTAAATTACATACACACTCTCAGGAACACATCAAAAGCAAGGTCCATTTATAATGCAGTTTAAAATAACTGTGTGACTATAGCATAGCTAAATTGCATTTTTATTACCAGAAAGAGTGAGCCTAAGAAGAGAAAGCCTAAGAAGAGAATGCTCCCCTGATAAATCCTTCATTTTTATTGTCTCCACTAAGATAAATAAAGGGCTGCAAATAAAATGTTAATGCACTAAAAATAGACTCAGGTAACATCTGGGTTCTCGTTGATTCACATAGGGTCTGGTATCCTACAAAACATCTGCACATCTGCCATGCAGGGCTGCGGGAGGTGTGTTCATGTGTACGTGGTGAACAAGTCCCTTTTGCAGACTCCAGACCTGTTGGCATGACCACAGTCACCCTCGCTGAGGCTCTGGATTTACCGGGGTCTTCCAGTTCCAAGCCACACAGTGCCCCCAAGCAGAAGTGAAAACATCTTTGCTTCCTCCTTCCGTTTCTCCAGACTCCTCAAGGTTTCCAAGAAAAGTCATAAAAGTTTCCCCATGTTTAACATCTGCAGCACCCACAGTACAGGACTCGAAACTCTGTGCCAAGGGCTGGACCAGGAGGGACAAAGACATGGGACAAATTGCCTTTACTGCCAGGTCAAGGTTTGCTGGTAAACACTCTCACGTCCCAGATGTGCTCTCTCCCTAGGACTCAGGGCAGGCCCTGTCATTCCCATGGACCCTGCTGGGACAAACACTGAGAGTCTCCAACCCTCCCCTCCCCATACACCAGCTCCCCCAGCACAACAGCCACACTGAACAAAACCCGTAAGGCACCGTAAGTGCCAGAGGGCTGGCTTCTTGGGCCACACCTGAGGCAACACAGCCAATCTCCGAGGAGAATGCCAACATGAAATAAGTTGGGGGTTTTTTGTGTTGGTTTGGTTTTTTGTTTTTGTTTGTTTGTTTTTGGTACTGGTGATTGAACTCATGACCTTGTACTTGCCAGGCAGGTGCTTGTGCCGCTGAGCTAAATCCCCAACTAGTTTTAAGTTAAAACAAGGAGTTTAAAAAAAAAAAAAAACTAGAGACAAAAAGTGCCTGAAAAGCCTATTAGTATCCCAGAACAGCCTCTGAGAAGCAGACAGATGTTCAAATCCCTTTGCCCTTTAACGGATAGTCGGGCCACATGTCGCCTGTGAGGCATGGCACTTTCCATTTGGGGTGACTTTGGGTAGCCAGCAGTGTCAGGTACCCTTGAAACACAGGGAGTCTCTGCGGTTGGGTCCCACACCCACCTCCCCACTCAGGACCCTCTCCCCAGAGCTAGCCGGCAGGATGGTGCTTCCCACAAGCAAGAACTTGCAGTCTGCAGTGTGAGTCCTTGCCCCTGCGTGTGGGGCACAGTTTTGGGGCACCGATTCCCTTCTCCATACTTTGGTCACATGTGTGTCCTACTCTGTCATGTTCTAGGTATCAGAATCCTCTTTGATGCCTGGGGTCAGAGATTGTAACTGATTCCCATTAGATGTTCAGTAAATTATTTGTTGGATGAAATTTTTCCTTGTGTGAATAAAGTAAATTCAAGGGTTGACCTCCACTTTTTATTTGTTTAATTCAAGACAAAGTCCTGCTAAGTTGCTAAGTTGCTCGAGTTGGGCTCAAACTCACAATCCTCCTGCCTCGGTCTCCCAGAGTCCTGGGGTTACAGCAGGCACCACCACACCCAGCTACGAGCTGACTTCTTTCCCATCTCCTTATTTGCCAAGGAGGGTCCATAGGACAGTGAAAGTTAACTTTAAGCTGTGACACACAGATGTGAAGAGAGTCTTCCTACCCATGACCCGATAGTGCTGTGAACCTCAGCACAACAGGAGTCAGTCGAGCACCCCAAAAACTCTAACCTCCAGGCCCCACCCAGGCCAGAAAGTGATTTTCATCCTTAGAGCATGAAGTGGGTGGTTGTGGGGATGGGAGAGGCAATAGCAAGTGAGCCTGGGATGAGGACTGATGCAGGCTGTGTGCAAAAACTCCCTCCCCTGCTGCTACCATATTTTCTGGAAAACAACATCAGTTCTTATATTAATTTTTGCTCTAAAAGATACAATAGGGCCTATTTTCAAGGGGTGTCTTATTTTTTTCATGTACAAGTTTCCCTTAAATCAACTGCTAATGGCAGATGTATGAGACAGGGGTGGCACCAAAATGATGACAGTTAAGAATGATAAACCACACAAAAGCGACCAAAATTCAGAAAACATGTATTTCACAAGTGCATTAAGTATGTCCATTACAACACACATTATATCGAATTATGAAGATTCACATTAGACCCAACCACATCCATTAGTTTTTATTCATGCATCATGTCTGTACTCCAATTGGTCCTTTCCAATAAGTCTCCAGTTCATCTATTTACATAGGCATTCATTTCTCATCCAAAGGCACCCATGTGGGTATTTCCAAATGCTTAATTGTAATTTACATTACCACCTACTTTAAGTATTAACAACAATATTACTCATTTATATTACTATTGTTTTATAATTCAATACATCTGTCATGTGTTACAGCAGACATAGAATTCATCTTAACGGGTACTTATGTTGGGGGCAGGTTTATAATAGTCATGCAATGCTTATTTTCTAGTTAGGTCTTATTTTCAAAGAAATACCATATTCATGAGATCAACGAAAGCTCTTAAGAATCTACAAACCACATCACCAACCCCAGTTTTTAAATAGCCACAGCTTCCTCAATTCTCTTCCCACTGAGAGGGAAGTCAAATCCCTACCTCTTGAATTTGGGTGGATAGATGACTAGTCGGTAACACACAGCAAAAGTGACACTGAGATTCCATTACACATGCTGAAAGTTGGAGGCCTGAGACACTGAGAAATCCGTCTAAGCCAAGATTGCTGTGCTTGGAGGAAGCCGAAACACACAGAGAAGCCAGGCCCAGGAATCGGCCCAGCACTCCCCACCTTCCAACATCCCAGCCCAGGCACTCCCCAACTCTTCCCAACTGAGACCCCAGCCATTATGACCAGAAGCAAGCCCCACTGTGCCTGTCGGACTCCCCATGCCTACACCCTAGTAAAACAGTGGTTGTTCTAAACCACTAAGCTCTGGGCCACTAAGCTTTGTGCTAGGTAGCACAAAGCAATCACCAGAATATAAGGTCAATCCCATTTGGTCCCCACTTCTCCCCTCAAGAAATCCTTTGCCTTTTGAGCTGTTTGCTGGTGAGAGAAGAGCCAGTTGTTAGATTTAGGATTCTTTTGAAGAAAAAGCTAGGTTTTGGTGTCTTCTAACCAGGCTTCACCAAGCCCCCTCTGCCAGGGAGAACCGAGCCTTTCACCCAGGCTGACCAGTCACACACAGTTCCAGTCCCACCCGAAGGCCTCTGGGATGCTTCACTTCTTCCTTGAAGGTCAGCCTGCAGCAAGCTACCCCTGGGGAACTAAGGAAGCACTGATTCCAGAGGTCTGTCAGCCTTGTCACTGTTTGTCACCTCTTGGCCCTTTTCCCTCAGGTCAGTCCTGGTTTATACCCTGCACTGCTCAATACGGGCAACAATTTCTACACCTCCCCAACCCTCAGTCCTGTGTGTCTATCACTCCATCCACAGGGGTCCCAGCAGCGGTCCTGAGCCAGGACACAGGCCCTTCTAAAGTCAAGCAGGGCGTGCTCTCCTCTCTGGGTCGTTGGTATCATAATCTAAAGCTTCTCATTTGTGTGCTACAAGGAGAAAGTGAACAGATGCAGGAAGCGAACGCAGATGGCCAATGTCATTTCTAGGCCTCCAATTCTGTGTGACAATTCGTAATCACTAGACTCAATCTAAGGTAGCACGACCTTCCTCCTTAGAAATTTCTGATTACCGAAGTTCCAGAGATTGCTGTCTCACTCCGTGCCTCACCCTTCATTTTCTCCAGTTCTCCATTACGTAACAGAGAGCTGGGGCTTCGGCCGAAGCTGCCCACCAGACACGAGCAACGTCACGGAGCGCTGACACCGGATGCAAGTGTTTAAGTGAATCTCAACTCTTTTATTTATTTGTTTGCTTGGTTTTGGCGGTGACTCATTCCTGGCCCTGCTCTGCAGCCTGCCACCTTTTAAGGTGACCCTGGGCTGGCGCGGCGCGGGCGGAGGCCAGGGCGCACGTGGCCGCACTGCCATTGGCCCCCGCCGCCCTCGCGTCCCCGCCCTGCCGCCGCCCTACGCCCCGCGCGCCGCGCGTCGCCCGCCCTGCGTGCCAGTTGCTGACAGCCGCTGCGCCGCGAGTTCCTCTTCTCCGCGGGAGGCAGGTAAACGCACCGCGCGGGCAGGGGGCGCCGCGATCCGGGGGCGCCGCGATCCGGGGTACGGCAGGGGAGCGGGACACCGAGGCGCGAGGGCGCGGCGGCCTGGGCGACCCGGCATGGGAGAAGCTCGGCTCGCGCGCGTGGCGCGTCTCAGGCCCGGCCGGGTGCCCGGCTCTTTGGATGACGCCGCACGGTTTGCCTTTCTGGCTAGGAGACCCCCCCTTTTTTATTCAGAATGAGGGGTTGGGAGTGACCTCCGGAGAGGTATTGTTGATCCCGGGATGTCTGATTCTCCCTCCCTTGGGGTCGCGGGTGGGCTTGGGGTATCTTAAGGGGAGCCAAGAAGGGCCGCGCGCAGCGCCGCTAGGACGCTCGCGGGGAAGCAGAGGAGGCGTCCAGACTCCCCGCCGTTTGCGGTTCTCGGAGGCAGCGCGCAAGGCCTGAGCCTCTTGGCCAGGTCGGGCAACTCCCCCGGGGCCCGGAGTGCTAGCCGCCGCCGCCTCAGGAGGCCGCCCAGCCCGGCATCCCCAGCCCGACCATCCCAGGGGCCCGCAGCCGCGAACCTTGGTCACCTTGGGGACCCAGCCGGAGCTCGGGGCGGGGCCTCTAGTCCCCACGGGCGGCTTCTGGGCAACCTCCTCTCTCCAGTTCGAGTGACCAAGCTGCTGGGGATGGGAGTCTGCGACAAGGCCTTAAGGTCTGGATCCCACCCCAGCTGTGCCTGTGGACCCACTGCTGCACTGGTCACATGTGCCCTGTCCTGGGGGAGGGGGATGACCCGGGGATTTGGGGGCTGCAGAGGAGAGGACTGGGTCCTCTCAACCTGAGCAGCAGGCATCTATCAAAACGACAGGAGGCAGACTTAATTTTTACTGCTCTTTTGATTTTTCTCTTTTTTCTTTACGGTAGTGGTAGAGAAAATAATTCTACCACGTGATTCCACCTGCATCACTTTCTTCCTCACCTTCCCAAAATATCTGCTTTCTCGTTTTCAGTGTCAAGCACAACACAGTGCACTTTCCTCCCTGTACTGTGAATTATCCTGATGGCTACTGTGATTTTCGTGTATTTAGCATACCATAGCTTACTAAGCAGTTACCCATGTGCTGAACATTTGATACGTTTCCATGTTCCTTACCAAAAAAAAAAAAAAAAAAAAAAACTCCAGGTAGAGTAGGATTAAAAATTTATATAAATCTGATTATCTGAAAAGTAGGAACAAAAATTGATTAAGAATAGCAGGTATCTGGAGAAATTAATGACTCCGTTTTGAAACAGGAAAAAAAAATCACCAAGGAAAGGAACAATTTTATCTACACAAACACTATGATTGACTTTGGTGGTATCGGAAGTTGAACCCATTCCTTTTGCACTGAGCTACATTCCCAACCCTTTTAATTTGTTGAGACAGTGTCTCGCCAAATTGCCCAGACTGAGGTTTGAACTTCTGAACTTCCTGCCTCAGCCTCCCAGAGAGCAGGGATTATAGATGTAAACCACCGTGCCCGCATCACTGATCAGATCTTAATGGGAGAAAGCATTGTTAGCCTTTCCAGAAAAGGGAGAAGCAACAGGAATGAGGATGAGATACATACCTTACTGGTATCAGACTCAAGTTTTCCTTATTTGTGAAAGGAAAGTAACAGACTATACTGTTACTTTTTTTTTTCATTCGAACTCAGGACCTTGCACTTGACAGGCCGGCCCTTGTACTGCTGAGCTATAGCCCCAGCCCCATACTCTTAAATGAAATAAATGGGACACATTGTCTCTCTGGTGTGAGAAACAGAACATGCAAATAAGAACCAAAATGCATAACAGATACTGGGAAATAGGAAGAAATTGTTCAAATGGGAAATGGAACTAGGAAGGGGGAAGAGGAAAGAAAGAAAGGGACAAGAAAGAAAGGAGAAAATGGAAGCAAACCTTTGTAAACAAAGAGAGGAAGAGGAATTGAAAGGAGGGAATGGAAAAAAGAATCAAGATATAGCATGCACAGGTACCAGTTTCCTATGATAATTGTGATCATTGTGTGCCTAAATTGTACCATAAGATTATTTTTTTAAATGATGAGTAAGCTACAGAATAAAATGCACATTAAGGCAGGTTTGAGTTATTGTTTTACATCCATTAATAAAAACAACCTTAAGAGTAGCTTCTCCTGGCAAGGTGGGGGAAAATCAGCATGGTCAGCTATCGGGGCAGGGCACGGGAAGGGCTTTGTGGTTAGACTGACAGCTCTGAAAACCTTTAGTGGCTATGGACATTTTACCTAGTTTCCTGACTTTGCTGTGAAAAGGAGAAAATGGTACCTGCTTCCTGGGTGTGTGGCAAAGATTAACTTTAATGGTCTATGTAAAACTGGTACAAATGTTTGTATAAATGTTTGGTACAAATGTTTCTTCTGCTCCCTGTTCCCACTCCACTGGGACCTTGTGAATCAGTGCAAATGTACAAACCTTTTATAAAGCAATTGGGTGACACATGTTAATTGGAAGCTATGACCCAAAAACCCACTTCAGGGAATTTACCTGTGGTGGAAGAAACAAACGAGGAAAAAAAAGAAAAAGCCAAACACAGGCATCCATTCCAAGCAGAATATTCTAAAATTAGAACCTCAATGTATAACAGCATGGCAGCTAAGAAAATCATGACACATAGCTGAGAGGAACATTACATAATCATCAACACGTATGGCTTTGGAGCCCGTGCTGCTTGGAGAAAAACCAGCAAGTCAAAGCATGGGTCACTGAACCCTGTGCCTGTTTGCCCATACACGAAGCAAGAACCTGGAAAGTGTTGATGGAAATTACATATAATGATAGTGGCCACTGATATATTGCTTTTATACTAATGTTGTTTTTAAGTAATTCACAAGTTTTAGTTTTTAATCATTTATTTACTCGTTTCCAGTGTGGGGTTTGAGCCCTGGGATTAGTTTCCATTTTTAAAATAAATCCCTACTAGTGAATAGAACACAGGGTCAGCCAGCACTCAGGAAGCTGACCAGGAGGACCGAGACCAGTCTGGGCAGGTTAGCAACTTAGTGAGACCCTGTTTCAAAATTTAAAAATGGAAAAGGAGCTGGGGGTGTAGCTCAGTGTGAAGGCCCTCAGTTTAATCCCCAGTACCACAAAATAAAAAATGAACCCAAAGATTTCTGTGTGTTAGAGAAAAAGGGAGCACTGGTTATCGTGTTCTCTTCCTAGAATAAAACATTTTCAGCTGACCTTGTTTCCTTTATCAGATATCATTCCATTATGCTGTCTTGGGTAGATTTATTAGGAATTATTTACTAATTTTTTTTGGTAAGAATCAGTTCTTAGGTTCATTTAACAATTCTGCTTTTTATTGCTGTTGTTTTGAAGGACGCCTGAGTATATATTTCAAAACTGAACAATTTGAGCCAACCCAAAGGATTCTGTCTTCCTAGAGGCACGAGTCAAGGCCAGGTGAGTTACAACAGATTGTGTGCACCCCGGGGAATCCTGCGATGGTTGGAAGCCTCCACCTGTTCAGGAAGTGGGAGTGGGAAAGGTTACGATAACAGCCCTTGCTCTGGGGAGATTGGGTAACACACTTAGCACATTCTTGTTTCTTATAAAATCAGCTTGATTTTCCAGAGCAAGGACCGCAGCTTGCTCTAGAATTATGCTGAATTGTGTAAATGAGCAACTATTTTGAAAATTGTGTAATAAAATAATAACATAAATATTTCTGCCCCAAATTGACAAAGCCTATGATTCTCAACCAACTGACGAAGCTAAGGTAAAAGGTTTTTCTAAACTGAGTTTTAACTTACTGGTTCCATTCTCCCTGTCCAGATCTTATTTCTTTTCCAAGGCAACAATATCAGCTGTGAACTGCTGCATATTAAACATTCAAAACACGTCTGTGGCAAGTCCCGGATGGCTATAGCATTGTAAACCTCAAATGAATAGCGTGTGTAGCAGCCCTTGCAATTGGAAGAGTTTTTCCCCCAATTTGTTAAATAATCCTATTTGTCCTACTGAATTCTACATTGCTGTTATGATAGTGTGTGAAACGGTCCTTTTCGTGCTACGTGTTATGCTATTGTGTGATCACTTCTAGGAAGTACGCTTTTATGAAAGGCAGTAATACATGTTAAGTGTTAGAATCCTGGGAACCTGGCTATGAAGCCTGACCAGTCTCCTGGGAAGCTGTTATTGCCCATAAATCCCTCTGCTGGACTCTGTGTGGCTCAACTTTGTTGGGTTCTAGGAATGTTGTTTTTTAAACATTTGCTCTTTTCAGTTCAGGGCTGGGCTATAAGGTACTGGTAAAGAAAAAAAAAAAAAAGCCTGCCTTGATTTTTCTTAAAAAGATTGCCTGGCTTGCATCAAAGTCTTTAAGGGTCAGTGGCTTAAGATAAAAGTATAACAAATAATGGGCTGGGGATTTAGCTCAGTGGCATAAGTGCCTGCCTTGAAAGCACACGGTCATGAGTTTGATGCCCAGTACAAAAAAACGCAATAAAAAAGAAAGTATGACAAATAGGACTCAAAAGAGACAGATATTTCCCTGAGGACGCTGAGCTACTGGTGGGGACAGTTTGGATCTTTGTCACTTCCCAGTTGAACCAATGCAACTTCAAGTCATAGTGTGTTGCTCTAAGATCAGGTTTGGCTATTAGCCACTGCCTTGCTGGGCTAAAAGACTTTGCTTGCTGCATTTGGATCTTGGCTCCGTCCTCCTGGGCTGTTGTGATCTTGGAACAAGCTCTGACCTGTTCTCACTCTCAGTCCCCATTGATAAATGAAAATGGGATAAATGGGGCAATTTCTGGATCTTTCTGTACCTTCTCTATAGTTCCAGAGCTCTGCCATTCTGCTCTTGCAGCCAATGTCACATGATTTTATTGTACTTTTGCATTGTAATGTCTGGCAAACCTGTGCTCTCTGAATTTCCATCTCATTCAGAATATTTGCGGTTATTTGTTAAGTACTGGGGATTGAACCCAGGGCTTTATGCTTACGAGGCAAGTACTGTATGATTGAGCTACACCTCTTGTCTACACCTTTTAATTTCTAATATAATTTCAGCATTTTTTAATAATGCTGTTTGAATTTTTACAAGACTATGTTGACCGTAGAAATATTTGAAAGTAAATTTGATACCTTTCAATATTGTTTTCTATGCAAAAACTATTCTCTTTTTCCAGTCCTCTTTTATGTCTTAGTAAAATTTTATAGCTTTCTTCTATAAGTTCTGCTGTTTATTTTGAAGATAATCCAAGGCATTTTAAAGTTTTATTGCCATTGTTTTACTGCCAGTAATTCTTTGAAACAGTTACAGCTGACTTAGGGACTCTCTGGGCTTTTTGTATGTTGATTTTAAAAATTATCGCCTTAATGAGCTCACTTATTTAAGATCTTTTTGAGCTGTTGTTCTGGATTTTCCAGCCAGAAAGTTACAGCTATATGAACTTTCAGAAGAATCTAAAATAACAGCAGCAATAGGCTACATTATTACCTGGTTCAATACATTAATGAGACTGCCTTGCCTGATCAAGTTCCCTTGGGGTGCTGGCTCTGCATCTATGATAGCCCCTCTTGATGCAAAGGGACCGACCCTACCAACCCTATACAGACGTTTCTGTGTGCGGTGCTGGACACTGAACCCAGGCTCCACCACTGAGCCGCACTCCCTCCACTTGTAAAAACCTCTTTGTTCTTTTTGTATTTTGACAATGCTGGGGATTGAAATTAGGGCCTCGGCACGCTAGGCGAGCACTGTAGCCCTGAGCTCCTCAACGACCCTTTTTATTTTATCTTGAGAGTTTCCAGGCTGACCTGAATTTGCAATCCTCTTCCTTGAGCCTCACAAACAGATGGTATTACAGGCACATGCCACCAGGCCTGGCTTCCTATACAAAATTTTAAAAATAGCTTCAATTTTTTAAGAAAATCAGAAATTGATGTTAATTTTGCTTGAAAACTTCTCAACATCTGCAGAAAAATCTTGAGCTTTTCTTTCCTTAACCCGTTAATGGATTCCCTGATTGTTGAGCCAGTTTTTAATTAGTGAAATAACCCTTACTCGTCATAGCCTATTCTCTGTAGCTGAGCTATTAAAATTGGTTGGATGGTGTTGCCTTTTGGCCATGCCCACCCTGTCACTGGAGGCTAGACAGCAGGGTGACTGAGTGCCAGCCTTCACACAAGGGTTCAAATCCTGACCCTTTATCCCGATGCCTGTGAACACTCACCTTCAGGTGAAGACACCCAAATACACAGGCTCACTGAGCTCTGGGTTCCTACAATAACAGTCTATAATGATACTCTCACTTAAGTATCCAGAGATATGGCAGGGTCTGCATGTCCAAACTAAAACCCTTGGGTTTGTTACCTAACAACAGCCTCCACCCAGTTTCTCTTGGTTCAGAGGTATTGTCGCCATCTACCTCCCTGATTATAAAATCCACAAGCCTGAGCAGCTCTCATTCCTTAGTCATATCAACAAGTCTGTTGATAACAACACTGGCTGTTTCTGCAAAATACATCTCATTTATTCACAGGTCATCGGCCACATCTACACCATCCCAGGGAATACTGCCATCTTCCTCCTAACTGGTTTCTCTGTTCCCTTTCTTACATCACCACATTTTCTTCTTTGCGCTATGATTAGAGTGAGCTCTTGGAAACACAGTCCTGTTCTGTTACTCTTCTAAGACAGTTAACCACAGCCTAGCAGTCTGCTTGCCTTCTGTCTCTTAAGGCTCCAGACCCGATATCCTTTCAGTCCTTGAACCCACCAACCTAAATATTATACTCACTGTTGTGAACTCAGCCCCTCGCATAATACTGGAACCTTAGACACCACTTAAAATATGTATGAAACTATTAGGATTGTTTTGTTTTCTGTTGCTATAACAAAATACCTGAGGTTGAGTGACTTTATGAAGAGAAAATTTTTAATTCTGGAGATTCCAGGGCACAGAGCCAGCATCAGTTTGGCCCTTGTAAAGGCCTCGTGCTGGATGACATTACAGTGGTGAGAATGCACGTAAGGAGGAGAGATTATATCACCAGACAAGAAGCCAAGAAGTGATGCAAAGCTGGGCTCACTCTTAGAGGAACTCCCTTTCCAGAGAATTAATACACTCCTAGGAGAACCGCCTTAACCCCTGCTGTGGCAGCATCTCCCAATGATGCTTCCAATAATCTTGATTTTATTTAGAGGGTGACATCTCCTGGGTTTTATTTATTAAATTCTATTTTTATCTCTATTATTTCTTTATTTCTGTGACAGTTTATATGAATTTTTGTCTTTGTGGTGTTTTGCTTTGTTTGGTTTTTTTGAGTCCCACCGTCGTCTGGCTAATTCTCATGCCGCGTGCTGAGCTGTATCCGGCGAGCCACGTGGTGCCCTGTAACCCCTCGCCCTGCTCTCTTGCTGTCTTTCCACTTCTCTTTGTTTTCCCAGCTGCATGCAGGTGATATATTGTTTTTGTCTCATTTATCAAATTCTTAATATTTTGAGTATCTTTTTATAAACTCTAAGCTTCTCACTTCTGCAAATTACCGGTTTATATCTTTTGGCCATCCGACCAGTAGAATTACCGTCTCTTACTGCTTTGCGAAAATTCCTTGTAGATTCTAGAAATAAATGAATCCTCTGTTGGCTTTAACGTCTACAAATACTTTTTACTTCTGTCTTCACTTTCTTTTGACTTTATTGACAATGCTCTGCATAATGTTAAGCAAGAATTCTTAAGTTTTATGTAATCAGACTCATGAATTATTTGCCTTTGAGTTTGTGCTTTCTGCCTAGAGAAAAGCACACTCCTTCAAGTCACAAAGACATGTGTTTGTATTTTCCCCCCAAATACCATAGTTTCACTTTTTCATGTAGATCATTTGAAATATGTATTTGTAGAGTGAGAGTTTAGAGTGAATCATGTGGCTCTTCCTAATTTTACTACAAAGAGAAAAATACTCTTACAGCTCTCGTGTAAGGTTTGAGTCCCTCTTAAATGATCCTCTAAATGAAATGATCATTTCAGTTCTTTTCATAATTAAATGTTGCTTTTCTTTTCTCAACTGATTTTGAAGTGATAGATTCTGCACCCAGCTTATCCAGTTAGCAGTATTTGGCAGAGCGGCAGCTCTGCAACTCTGCCATCTGTTATCTCTGCAAGGACAACTCCCAGAGGTGGGGTTCGTGGTTGTTCCTCAGCTCCAGACCCATGACACTCATGTCTGCTGTTATCTCTGCTCCCACATGTAGTGTGACAGCGTTGCCAAAGCCACACCTTTTCTCCATCTCCCTCCAGACCGGCTGGCCATTCTGTGTCATGGCCACACAGTTGCCTAGTCCAGAAATGGGGTGCCAGTTCACCTCTTCCAGTCCCCAGCTTCCAAGTCAAATCCTGAGCTTGTAGAGGTCCCTGTGGGTCACACTGCCATCCCAGACTCTCCTTCCCCTGGCCAAAGCCAACAGCTTCTTTTACCTCCCTCCCTGTACCAGCCTGGTAACTAGTCTCCCTGCCTCCTGCTTTACACACACATGCACACACGTGTACACACACTTGAGTCTCAAGTCCATTTCCCACAATGCTCTTCCTGAAAGAAGAACTCAAGAACCCAACCTCCAGTGCCTTTAGCTCTAGACCAGCCTCTCTCTCGACTTATGATTAGGCTGACATACGGCGCAGCATCCTGCTGGGACGCTGGGCACTAACAGTGTTGGCACAGGAGTCAGTACCTGTCTGCCTGGCCTGACCTCCACTGCTCCCCATGACGTGCTTACCATTGGTATTCTCAGTTTTTCATCCACTCAGGATTTATTTTGCATGTTTTTGAATCCAGTAAAATAATAAGCATAGAGTAAATAAGATACTGAGTAGCCGTGACTGCTTTGGAAAGAAATGTAGCAGGATAGGGTGAGGGTGGGGACACTGACTTAGGTAAATCGGCATGAGGACCGTGTCAGTGGCTGGGGGATAAGCCTTTTGGGCCCAGGGGACAGCAGGGGTAAAGGCCCAGAGCTGGAGTCATGCTTGTTGGGTCTGAGGAAGGGCTGGAGGTGGAGAGAGGGGGGCAGCAGAGCTGGGTCGAGTGTGACCTGGCCAGCGTGGCCAGGACTTTGCATGGAGAGCACCAGTGTGGGCTGGCGAGAAGCAGGGAGGCTGTGAGGACTCAGAGAAGTGGGAAATGGAAAGGCCCAGGGGCTTAGGATTTACTCAGGGCAGATCTGCAGATAGACCACACTTACACTGTGAGAGGAAAAACTCAAGAATAACTAAGATTAGGAGCTGGGGATTTAGCTCAGCGGCATAAGCGCCTGCCTTGCAAGCAGGCAGTCGTGAGTTCGATCCCCGGTAGCGATAAAAAGTAAAAAGACCAAAAAAAAAAGAATAACTAAGGTTGTTGGTGGCATTTGGCTCACTAAGGTTGAGTGGAATGAACAGATATTGATGTAAGAAAAAAAAAAAGAAAGAAAGAAAACTCTTGGAACCAGGAGCTGTAACCGAGGGGACAGTCCCCTAGTTGGGTTCCCTAGGCTGTGTGAACAGCATACGCTAAGAGCTGGGGCCCATGAGAAATGGGGAGTCAGTCATGAGGCCTGCAGGACACTAGGCGGTGAGGGCTGTAGGAGCAGGGACGGGGACTGTTTAGCCTGTCCCCAGCCCTGCCCCTGTGACTGCCAGCCAGCCAAGCCTTCAAAACGCTAACTGGTAAGATCTGAGTAATCTCACAAGGTATAATTTTACTGATGACCACTAAGACAGCACTTCTGGTTTCAGTAAAGCTAATGGAAATGTAGGCAGGATGTGAACTCATTTCTTTGTTTAGTGATTCTTCCTGTAGATATTACTCAATTTAGTCATTAACTACGCAGGATATGAAAACTAATTTTCTAATTCTTAAAAATTCTGTAGTAACCCTTTGCTGGGTGTGGCAGCATGTGCCATGCTAGGTTTTGTGACACACGGTGATATTCTGGAGCATACGATTTGACCTAGTGGACAGTAGATACTGTTGGTATCTTCCTACTCTGTGTCTTTGGATGTAGCCCTTGGAACTGAGCACTAAGGCAATGAGATCTTTAATCTGAAAGGAGGTTTGTAATTTGATGAAGGCCATTCTGCAAAGGGTCATAAGTTATGATATTTGGTTCATCTGTCAGTCTCTAAACTGTGCTAGTCCTGCTATGTAAGATTTCTCTTATACCAAAAACTAGAAGAAATCACTTACAAAATATCAAATGCTGAACTAAAAATCATTCAGCAAGTATGTGACTGCACCTACTGTCCGTGCTGCCCACGGTAAAGAGCTCCATGCCTCGGTCTATAGAGAGCAGTGAACTTACAAGTAAACTTGTACAATCCTGGGTGTTTCCTTTTCCTAGTAAAATCATACTGAGAATGCCTTTGAGGAAACCTTTCTTGGCATTTTCAAGTTCAAGGATACTGATTGCTTCACTTAACAAAATCTAAGGTGTCCTGCTGCATGCCAGTCACTGCCCCCACCCCCAAGGGCACGGCCACAAACAAGGAAAACTTCCTCCCTCCCTGCCGACATCCCTGCAGAAGAAAAGAAGTGCAGCTGTTCTCACTGGGTGCTTCCTAACTAGCACCAGGCTTAAGCCTTCGTGGGCCACACTTCAGATCCACAAGGCAGCCCCCACTTCGGAGTGATCTCTACCCCTAGCACCTGCCTGTGACTGCTTAGGTTCAGGAAATAAGATGCATATTGGAGGGATAAAGAGATCCCCCTGGTATAGCAGGCCAGTGGCCTTTAGAACCTGATATCCAGGGGTACAGCTTCCAGGGTTCCCAGAAGAACAAGCCCAGTTCCAAGAATCGCTTTTCTAAGAAGCTCAAAGCCATGCCCAGCCCACTTGGTAAGGGGAAGGGAGAACAGTTTCTCCCAGACAAGATGCAGTTGGCCAGTTGGAGGCTCTGTTCCACTGAGCGATGCTGCTGACATTCCGCCTTATCAGATCTCCAGGAAACAGCTAGCAATTTCAAATTTGCCTCAGTGAACAAAAACGAGATACAGGAACAACCCACTTTCTGGGCCCACTCCTGTCTTTCTTAGGCAGAAACTGTCTTTCTCTCAGTAAATATTTCCTACTCTTAAAAAAATGAATTACACTTCTCTTTCCTTCTGATCGCTTTTTGCCTCAGTGCAGTCTGGGAAAGGCCCAGGATGTAAGATGTGTGTGACAAGGGGCTGGCGCTATTGCTGCGCTCTCATCCGTCAGGCAGCAACGTCAAGCGGTTTCAGTGTAAATTCAGGACGCTGATGCCCTCTTCTTCCTTTTGCAGAGCATTCATCATGGCAAATGCCGGCTGCTGGCTGCTGGTTCTTTTTGTGGCCACATGGAGTGACACTGGCCTCTGCAAGAAGCGACCAAAACCAGGAGGAGGGTGGAACACCGGGGGCAGCCGTTACCCATCCCACAGCGGGGGGACCTGGGGTCAGCCCCATGGAGGTAGCTGGGGCCAGCCTCATGGTGGTAGCTGGGGCCAGCCCCATGGTGGTAGCTGGGGACAGCCCCATGGCGGTGGCTGGGGCCATGGAGGTGGCTCGTACAATCAGTGGAACAAACCCAGTAAGCCCAAAACCAACATGAAGCACATGGCGGGGGCTGCGGCGGCCGGGGCAGTGGTGGGGGGCCTTGGCGGCTACATGCTGGGGAGCGCCATGAGCAGGCCCCTCATCCATTTCGGCAGCGACTATGAGGACCGTTACTACCGTGAGAACATGTACCGTTACCCCAACCAAGTGTACTACAAGCCCGTGGATCAGTACAGCAACCAGAACAGCTTTGTGCAGGACTGTGTCAACATCACGATCAAGCAGCACACGGTCACCACCACCACCAAAGGGGAGAACTTCACCGAGACTGACGTGAAGATCATGGAGCGCGTGCTGGAGCAGATGTGTACCACGCAGTACCAAAAGGAGTCCCAGGCTTACTACTACCACGGGCGGGCCGGCCTGGTGCTCTTCTCCTCCCCACCCGTGATCCTCCTCATCTCCTTCCTGATCTTCCTGATAGTGGGATGAGGGTGTCTTCCTCTTTTACCATCTTCTGCATCTTGGTCCAGATTGGAGGAGGGGTGTCCAGCAGCAGCCCTTTTAGTGGTGGCATCTCATTCTTGCTTCTCTCTTTGTCCCCCATAGGCTAATACCCTTGGCACCAAAGGGCACTGGAAAATATAGGGTAAACCCAGATGCTATGTGTTCAAGGCCTCTCTGAGTCCCTCTTGGGCCAGTGCAGGCCAGTAAGAATGTAACAGCAAATAACCATCAGTTAATGTAGGTTTATTTTCGGTCTGGTGCCCCAGGTTAAGGCGGAAGCAGGTCTCCAGTTGTCACACACCTTTGTCTGAATGGCTATGGCTGCTTCGGCAGCCAGAGCTCAGGGCATAAATGTTCCAACTTAGCAGCAATTTTATAGCAGTTTGGAAATTTTTTTCTCTTCCACTTTAAGAAAACCTGACAGCATTTCTGCCACATTTGCAAAAAGGCCACGTGATACTCATTCAAAAATCTGAAAAGCAAACAGTAGAAATTCTTCACCTCGGGCTGCAAGCTCAGCCTGCTGGAGTGCATGTCCTGTGCCCAAAGCCTTTTGCGGCACGGGCTGCACAGCAGTTGCTGCATCCAGAGGAAAATAATTGTGCAATCCTAGGCCTCCAGGCAGAGGACACAGTCACAGAAGGTGAGCATAACTGTCACACAGACTGAAGGCTTCTGGGACTGAAAATTCCGCATTTTCAAATGTTGCCTTGGAAACCGCCCTCCCATTTGGGCTGCGTAAAGCATCCGCATGTGGCACCCTTTCTTTAGAGACATAACACAGGTACCTGAGGCAAAAGTTAAATTACTTGCTACACACTGGAGGCAAAGCTTCTTTGTTCAAAATTTACTAAAAAGTGGAATGATTTCAGCCTCGTTTGGGAAGGAACCAGGAGCTGATGACTCCAGGGAAGCAGCAGGTAGAGAGCTCAGGCTCTGGAGGGTTGTGTGATGAAGAAGTGGCAGTGTGCAGACTAGAAGTGCTCACAGTTCTTCATTGCTGTCTCAGAATTGTGCAAAACCAGAATTAGGTCGAGTCCTTAGTTTCTGTAATTTGTTTTTAAATCCAAGAACAAGGAGACAATCTAAAAAAAAAGTTGTAGAGATCAGAAATATGTTCCATTCCAAGTGGAAAAAGAAATTCTACTCCTGTTGTCAAATTAAGGCCAACTCTTCACTAAATTGTTCAATACTGTCACCTAGCAAACATCCGTTACTATTTTGCAATGTTATTGGCTTGCACTACGTGGGTATTCTATGTAAAACATACGTATAAAATATACATTGCATATGGCAAACTTAGAAGTTTTGTTTAGAGCAGTAACATCTAAAGTGTCTAATGCATTAGCCATTTCATAAGGCATTAAACCTAAAATGTGGGAACCCTCTGGCGTGGCCCCTAGGCTTTACAATGTACACTGAATAGTTTTGTATAAGAATCCAAAGTGGACACCACTAACTAGTCTTTGAAATCCGCATGTACTTTATATTTTCTATATTTGTAACTTTGCATGTACTTGTTTTATTGTATAAGAAGTTTGTAAGTGTTTACTATCTGACTGAAATTAAACCAAGCAAAAAAGACCCCGGCCCATTGGTCCAATTGTTTCACTGGTGCCCGCCCTGCATGGGCAGGATGGGTGGCACCTTCAGGCCCCCAGCCTCAGCTGCCTGCCCTCATCTTGTGCCTGCCCCATCCTGCACCCGTTCTTACTTCTAGCCACATGGACCAGCTCAGCTCTGCTCCCCTCTTTTCTAAAACGTCTGAGGGTGCTCAGCCCTGGGTGAAATGCAAAGACCCCATGAGGCAGGGAAATGGGAGCCTCACACTGGGGACATTTTTCTGTCCTGGATTTAGAAATCGATTTTTTTTTTTTTTTTTTTTTTTTTTGGTAGTATTGGTGACGGAACCCAAGGCCTCGTGCATGCCAGGCATGTGCTCTAACACTGGTTACAGTGAAACTTAAGCACTGAAGTACATACATAACTCTACCTGTAGGGTATTCTCAGGTCCTGGGACTCCCAATGACAGTCGCTCTTCTCACCTTCAGATCAAAAGATCACTGTGATTGTCACAGTCTTTCTGCTGGTACAACTACACAGGTTCCACTTCCCATTCTGCCACAGTGCTGTGGTGCTCGTGTTTACTGTTGGCAGTGGTTTTCTTAGGCAGCTGTTATTAACCACAGGCAGGAAGTAAACACACAAAATGACAGTGGTTGGAATCACTGTATTCCAGTGGAGGAGCAAGTCCCCCAGGAAATCACACTCAGGCCACAAACAGGGATTTAAGGTACTCACAGGTCAGAGAGAGAGATCCCACCCCACACAGACACCTGTAAGAGAAGGACTCAAGGCATAAATTTAAACAGGCAGCTCAAGAGAACCCCAGAGAGGGAAGGTGTGGGCAGCGCCCACACTAAGGCCAGGGTGGAGTTCACACGAGGAGGCTCTCAGCGATTCCACTGGCCCCTTTGAATGTCACCAGGTTAGAGTCCAGTGGATAAGAAGGGGAACTTCAGCTGATGCAGCCTTATCACCCATTGAGACATCAGAAAAACATGTTTAAAAAGTGCACTTGGGGCCGGGGGTTTAGCTCAGCAGCATAAGTGCCTACTTGGCAAACATGAGGTCGTGAGTTCGATCCCCAGCACCAAAAAAATAAAAGTGCACTGTGCAATGTCAGTTTCCTGCAGTAATCAGAGGATTGACTTTGTGTTAGGACAGAGTGGTGAGTCAATTATCCTGAGATCCATCACTCAAAAAGCTGCTGAATAAAGTGACACGAAATCCCAAAAGCATGACTCTCAAATGGGCCTCTAAGTTGATCCTTAAGAGAATTTCCAGAGCTATTTCCACTCTATCCTTCTGACCATTTTCCTAATTATTTAAAGGTAAGCCATTCATTATCTGACAATCTTCATTTCTCAAAAATAGCCCACCTATGGGCTGGGGATTTAGCTCAACGGCATAAGCGCCTACCTTGTAAGCACGCGGTCGTGAGTTCGATCCCTGGTACCGATAAAAAAAATATATATATATATATATATGTATATATAGCCCACCTAGAGTTGGGCTATACCTTAGTGGTGGTGCATAATGTGCAGACCCTCAACTCAACCCCAGCACACTCACACTCACACAGAGCTATCTAAGAAGATAAGTCTTTCAGTGCAGAGGTATTTGTAAAGCCAGAATGAATCATAGCCATCTGTGTCTTTCTCAGGCTCCCATGTTTTCCTTTCACCTCCAGTTCCTGTGATTTGTACAAAAGGAGTGTTTACTCAGAGAAGAAGAAAGAAATTTTAAAGTGACCCACATGCAGGTAACTGAGTGATCCCAAGAGCAGGTACTTCAGGGGAATTGCTTGGGGGTGCCTTTGCTTCCTCTTCCCTAGGAATGAACCCAAAGAAGTGTCCGCTACCCCTGACTTCACAAGCACCCCCAGAGGTTTGGATGCCCAAATGCTGATGTTTGGCCCAAGAATTTGCATTTCAAATAATTTCCAGGTGATGCTGGTGTGGACATGACATACGAAAATCCACTGCTCTACAGGAAGATGCAAAAGAACCAGAAGGCTACCCAGCCCTGAAATATGCCCAGAGCTGTATAGATGCCAAGTCTCTGCTTGGAGCAGAAAGCTGGGAATTCTCCCTACAAGGGGAGATACTCAGATCCCACTGTCTGCTTCCTCAAACACATTCCAAGGGCCCAGCAGGTCAGAATTCAGGCCCAAATCATCCGTTTATCCACCTGTCCTCCCCAGGGTGGACAACACCACAGGTGTACACACCCAAGGCTCCTACAGGTAGCTGTTTGGGTGTGGCTGTTTGAGGGAGCCACAGAGAGGCTTAAAAGCATGGGCTGGGGGTCCACACCCGTGAACTCAAGGCCCTCACAGGGTGGAGTGGAGCCAGATGGGAAGAGATGGGTGGGACAGGCTGAGGGCCTCCCTTTGGGCTCCACCTCCAGGCCCTGCAAATGCTACAGGTAGTCCTGCCCGGAAGCTTCGGGGGAAGAAACAAAGGATTTTACAGTAAAATCATTAGTTTGTACAGATGTCTCCCAGTCATAAAAGTGTTTGTAAATTCTCCATAAAGCAAGAACTGGTCACATTAGGTTCTGGGCGTGGTTCTTGGCCCCTCCCCACCAGTTCACACCCTGGACAGTTGTTCCTCGCCTTCTTCCAGGGCCTCCATCCAATCGTCCACTTAGACCCCTGCTTCCAAGTGCCTTCGTGTGACCCTCTAGAAGTAGCCAGAGTTGCAGAAAGCTCTGGAGCAGGTGCTCAAATAATGCTTTCACCAGGCAGTTTGCTAACTCTTGCTGATCCCAAAACCACTGATGGTCCATCAGTTCAATTTAAAAAATTATAGTCAGACACAATTTAAACTGTAAAAACATAGCACTTTCCATACAATATTTTTGCGTGCTGCATGACAGCTAAAACTTGTGCTTTCAAAGAACTTTTCATTACTAGAAATGTGCGTAGTAAAATTTTAAGTGAAAATCAAAGTATGAGCCTTATGAGAGTAGGATAAGTATTTTTATGTAAAGCAAAGAAAAAATATGCAAAAATACAGGAAAACAAATACCAGAAGTGTATAGGCCTTAACATTAACAGTGATTATTGCTGGGTAGTGATAACAATGACTTTTACTTCCTCCTGCATTGTTTTATATTTTTCAAAAATAAACTCACAGCCAGGCATGGTGATGCTCACTTGTAACCCCAGCACTCAGACGACTGAGGCAGGAGGGTCACTGGGAGTTCAAGGCCAGTCTTAATTAACTACATAGCGAGACCCTGTCTCCAAAAAATGAATACAAATAAACTCACAGAGTAATTGTTAATTTTATGTGTCCAGGGGCTGGGGATTTAGCTCAGCGGCATAAAGCGCCTGCCTTGCAAGCAGGCAGTCGTGAGTTCAATCCCTGGTACCGATAAAAATTTTTTAAAAAAATTTTATGTGTCCATCTGACCGCGTCATGGAGTGGCCAGACTGAGCGATTCTGGGTGTGTCTGGGTGAGATCACCCATGAGTCCCAGATGGAATAAGCGGATCAGGTAGCCAGCATCCAATGGCTCTCAGCCCTTAAGAGAACAGAAAGATGGAGGAGGAGGAGTCCACCCCTCTTTGCTTCCTGCCTGGCTGCTTCCACTGGGACATCAGTCTCCTCCTGCCCAGGGACAGGGATATACTCTTGTCATCTGGCCTTTGGACTTGGCCCAAAGCTGCACTCTTGGCTTTCCGGCTTGAAGACAGCAAGTTGTGGCCTGGGGTTCTCAGCAGGAGCCAATCCCTAATGATGAACGCCTTCCTGCACGCGATGTCTTATTGGTTTGGTTTTTCGGAAGAACTCTAATACATACAGGTGACCAGATGAGTTGCTATTATTTTTAATTCCTTTCATGGCACAGAGCATCCCGTCCCGGAGGCCTCAGAGGCCCTGTCTCTGCTTTCTCAGAAGTGTCACAGCCGAGGGGATCGCGCACCACCCCCACGCCTGGCACTTGCTGTCCACAGCCTTGCCAAACCTCAGTGATCCCCAACCCGAAGCACCCGTTAGCATCCTCCCCTCAAACACCGCAGAAACGCTTTGCTGTTGTTTGTGTGGCTACTAAACAGTGCGGCGTGGAGGCCTTCCCTCTGCGCCTGCCTGGCTTCTGGTTTCTTCTAAGGACAGTCAGCCATCCGCCTTCACTTCACCTTCATCACCATGTTACATGAGATAGGACAGAAGAAATGAAGACAGCGAAAGGAAAATCACAGTTTCAAAACTGTGCTTTTAAGACAACTGCAGCTTGAGGCTGGAGATGTAGCTCAGTGGCACAGCACCTGCCTGACAAGCACGAGGTCCTGAGCTCAATGTCCAGAACACTCTTGCCCCACTCCCCAAAAAAAGAAGACCGCAACTTCAGGAGGTAAAGTTACCCAAAATTGGTATTGTATTTCCTTGGCTTATTTATGATTCTCTCCAGGCCCATCACAACCCAAATCCCTTAAGGAGTCTGTGAATCTATAAATTAACTTAGTTGATAAAATAAAGGGCAGGAACGTGATCTTAAAGGAACAGAACAGATTGATAATTCAAAGAACAGTTTTAAACAAAACACCTTGGATCACTCATTTTTTTAAAAAAAATGAATGGACCATTCTCTTCTCCTGTAAACCAAGATGGAACTTCATACAGATTCACAAATTCTGAAAGTTTCCATCCCTCAAAACCTAAATAGTCCCATGTCCACAAAACAGTGTATCTCCTCCTCTGAACACCTGCATTCCCTTCTGTGTATACTTTTTTCTTCTAAATAAATCTTTCCATGTCCCTTTACTAACTAGTCTTGAAAACTCTTCAGAATTGAGCTTCTTCACTTCCTCTTCTGGGACTCTCTCTGGACCCTGTCCAGTGACACAAAGATCCTTATCTCCAAATACAGTCACATCCTCAGGTAATGAGGAATTTTGTGGGTACACAATTCAGACACAATCTTTCTAGAAATATCCCAGTGTGCACTTGTGTACCAAGACCACGAGGATCTCTGGGGGGCCCTGAGAGTCTCCTACTGAAAATGGCACTGGGTGGGTCACTCTGTACCCTCAGGACGACAGGGTCACTGCCTGGCACTGGCCTTAGGCGTGCCCGTTACAGAGCAAATAAAAATGCCTGCATTCTGGACACAGCTCCTGAGCAATCCAGGTGCCCACCCCCCAGGGCTGGCTCCAAGTGAGGAGTTTCATGATCAACTGAACATGTTTAGTTTGGCTCATAGCCATGAAGTTGCAGGAGGCTGAGCCAGATACTGTTCTTCCCACACTGATGCATTGCTAAACACACCTGGCATGGAGCTGTGCTGATCATGAGTTAATGCAAAGTACCAGGTGTTCACCGGAATCCCGTGGGTGCTGGAGGGGGCTGGTGGCATCCCCAGACATCACACTGCAAAGCCCAAGGGCTGGAAGTGCCCTGTGCGTGGTGGCCACCCACACATAGAATGTGGCCACCCAGTTTCCCTCATGGCCAAGCTCACCTTCATGATGTCCCAGCTCCCCCACATTGGAGCTCGAAAGCCCCCAAGCGTCCCAGCTGTGGGCTGCTGGCCCCACTTGCTCCCCAGAGAACCTCAACCACAATTTCTTTCGCTAGCCCATGCCTTATTTCTCCTTTCCTCCTGCACATCTCTGAATCTGCTTTTACAGACACTCCTTGTTTAATAACCGAGCTCAGTTCCTGCACCTGGGTCAACTGGTTCGTTAATTGGATCCATCCCTAAATGAAGAATTGTATTGAGTTACATGCACTACAATATTCATAACAGAGAAATGGTCAAAAGAAACTCCACTTTGATGACTTCACTTTTATTTGCATAACTCTTACCTGCAGTACTATAATATATAGCAGAACATAAAATTGCAGACTGTACTGTACAGTACAATCTGCAAAAATCACAGTACTGCATAGACATGATACAGTGCACGAAAGGAGACAGTGAGGCTCTATTGACAAGATGCACAGAACTGTACCCGAAAACAGGTGTGCTGGGGTTAATGGTGATTGATAAACAACTTTATGAGCTGTGTGAAAAATCCCTGAATACACACACTGAAGAGGTGATGCTTCTGTGGTGGGAATCATGTGATCCCAGCGAAGCTGTGTGTGACTTTTCTTAAGCACAGAATTACCTCCCTATGAGCAGAGGCGATGCCAGCATTTGACTGAAGCTGAGGCTGTGTAAGCACATCTCTGCCACTTGCGTTTCTCACCTTTCTTCCAGAAAACAAGGGGAAAACATCACTCCCAATCTGAAGTCACCTGCGTTTATAACACGTCCTCTCTGGCACTGCGCAGAAGGGTCAGTGGCTATCCAGCATCTTCCACCCACTCTGGGAAACATCTGTTTCCTTCCATACTTCTTGTCTGCCCCGCCCAGCCTTCTCCACCTTACAGGGAGTGGTGCAGATGGGTCAGGACATGCCCGGTGACTCCAGCTGCCATGGAGAGATCCAGACGCATGGTATGACACAGGTCTTGCGAAACCGAGCCCCACATCACATTCCCACCCTCATCTCCACCTGCTCGCCAGCCCCAGAGGCTTCAGTAGGGCCTTTGAGAACAGAGCGTCTCTGTCTGAAGCACAACGTGTGCCATGTCACCCTTGCCCAAAGGCCTTCTGTGTCCCTGTCCTTCTCACCGGTGTCTCTCATAACTGCCTGGAACTTCCACTTGGGGTCAGGAGAGCAGCAAAGATTCGAGAGGGGCCTTGGCTCTGGGTAGAAAGGCTGAACCGTTTCCCTGTGGTTGCTAAAGTACAGGAGGATGCAGTCCCCAGGTCAAGGCCATGCATGGGGGAGGTAGGCCTGGCCTGGGAAGGCACCCCATTCACTCTGAAGACCAGTCAAATCGTTCCAACTCACCCTGGTCTGCACCTTAGGGCTCCTCTCTCAGTCTGCTTTGTGCCGTTACAGTAGAATACCTAAGGCAGTGTCATCTATGAGGAGCATACCTGTATTGGCTCACAGCTGTAGAGCCTGGGGAAGCCCAGTCCCATGGGACCTGTGAACCAGGAGGGCCTTCTGGGTGATATCACATGACAGAAGGCCAGAAAGCAAGAGGGAGCCAAACCTGACCTTTTACAGTGGCACAAATCCCACCCATGAAGGTAAAGCCTTGTGCCCTGATCTCTTTTGTTTGAGACAAGGTCTCATGAGACACTTCAGACTGGCTTTGAACTCCCTATGTGGCCCCCACTCACAGTGATCCTCCTGCCTCAGCCTTCCAATTGTTGGGATCACAGGCATGTGCCTCCTTGCTGTCTACATAGTCTTGAGTCTGTGAAAATGTGCTGAATTTTGTACTTGTGGCATGTGGCCTTTTATCTGCATGTACATTAGACTTTAACATGTTGGGTCCCCAGTTGCATTTCTTGCAGGATCCAGTCTCCACAGCTATCACTGCCAAAGAGGGATGTCCTGCTGCATTTCCCCAGCAGGGCAGGGGCGCCCTGAGCCTGGTCACTGCTCCTCTCCCTGAGCTGCCTGAGGGATTGCTTAGGTCAGCCCCCTGCCGAAGGCCCCGCCTCTGGCACCAACCTCTCCATCCTTGCCAGTTGCCTTCAGAGCAGCAAAGGCCTCATTAACATTCCTGCTGGGCAGGTAATTAACATGTGCGCACAGGCCTGTGGACTCACAGCAGCTTTTAGAGCACAGTTCGTGTTCTTTATAACATACGCAGGAGCACACAGAATTGTGATTCTAACAATGCAGCCCTGGATAAGCTGGGAGTGGAGGATTTGGCCCCCCTGGGACTGAGGGGAAGACTTCGTCTCAGTGTGAGCTTGGGGCTCCCCCAGGGACACCCAGAAAATGCACCAGCTGCCTTCCACAGAGAGCCAAGGCTGCAGCTGCCCTCCAGTCAGTGGTGATGAAGTCATGACAGGTAACGTGAGACAGGATGGGGACAGAAGTGACCTGGGCTCATGGCCACTCTCTTTGCAGCAACCACAGGCCTCCCTTGAGAATGAGACCTCGTGGGTCAATGTCACCACCTGAGACAAGAGCTGCCATCACTCACCACTTACCCAGTCCAGGTCCTTGGAAAGCCTTCCTTCTCCTCTAGGACATTTCCTTTGTTTACGGGAGAGAAGACACACTGCAAACCAAATTATCAGATTAATCATGCTTTGAACGACAGAGACAAGAAGAAAAGGGTGGGGAGGCTGAGGAGCTCTCGTGGACACCCTGAGAGACAGATGGCTTAAAGCAGGACTTTGCTGCTGTCACTCTGCCCCAAGCTTTGACTGTGCTCTCCAGAACCGACCTCCTCCTGCGCAAGTGGTTGCCCAGGCCTGCAGGGATAGGAGCTCCCCTCGCCCAAAACCCCACCTCCCTTGATTCTCCCCCAGCCAGCCAGCCCCCAACCCTCCACCCCAGCTCTGCCCTGAATCCTCTGAAACGCAGCCCCCAACTCAGCTGCCACCTGGCCAAGGAAAGGCGGACTGCAGAGGAGACAAGCCCCAGGAACACAGCATCTGCTTCTCCAATCCTGGTCGTCGGTGGGCTCAAGTCCTGCCTCCAGACCACTGCATGCCACAGAATTTTAACCCCAGCACGACAGGCCTTCTCCACACTGCCCTTGTGTGTTTGTTTTGTTCTGTTCTGTTTTAACTGCGTCCAGCTTTCGCACTTAGACCTGCTCAGAGTTCCTCTCCCTGCTTGTATCTGTCTCATCCTGCAGTGCTGTCACATGTTGGGCCTGAACCCCGGCAACAGCCTACTTGGGCAGCTTTGATCCATGCACAGATGTGACAATGTTGTCCTCACCCGGGTCAGAGGCAAAGAAGGGGTAAAGGGCATCGAGCTGCATTTAGGCCCTGGGCACTGCACTGGGTGTAAGGCAAACACTCAGAAGGAGTCACAGTCCTGCAGCTCCCGGGAGCCAGCAGAGCCCATGCCCAGCAAGGCCTGCATAGGGTGACAGCTAGAATGGGCTGTGGGGACTGTTAGACTAAGATGCTGAAAATTAAAATAATTGATTAAAAGATAATTAGCAAAAATAGTTAGTTAAAAGGATAGTTATTAGCAGTATTGTCATTCTGTACTGAGCTCGTTACCCTAGTAACCAAGCACCAACCACAGAGTTATAGATTAACTGAACGCATCGTCATGCTGTTCTGCACACTTCGTCCCCCTCCCCCCCCCGAAATAACCTGTGTGCTATGTCAACCTTTGTCCCCCTTGTAAGAGACAAATGACGCTGTGTCAACCATTGTTCCCTTTATGAGAGACAAATGTTCCTGGAATTGGCAGACCAGGAGCTATAATTGGCTAACCACCCACTGTGAAATGCCTCTGACCTCAAGCAAAGGGGACAAAGGCCCACCTTGTTTCTGTTTCTCATCGCTATGTACTTAATGATCAATGAGCTAATCATAAATGAACTATAAAAATCAGTCAAAATTCTAACTCAGTTGCACAGCTTTGCAAATGCCATCTGCACTGTGTCGCTGGGCCAGCTAAAATAAAAGCGCTTCTTTTAGAAAGACATCTTGCCCCATTTATCATCTTGGGGGTCTTGCCCTGTTTTTCATTATGGGGCCTTGTTTTTTGGGTGGGTTACAACAGGGACCCACGGCGGAGAAAACAGAGTGGGCCCCCTGTGACGGGAGAGGACACATTCTGCACAAAACAATAACCTACATCTAAGAATATGAAAGGTGAAAGCAAGTGAATGTCGTGACCCAGTGAGTCTGATACTGAGAGAACACACAGCAGCCAGTGGGAAGGTGCATGCGTGCTCACAGCAAGAGCCAGGCAGGGTGCACACACCTGTAACCCCAGCCTCGGGTCTGAAGCCAGGGGATCCCCGTGAGTCTGAGGTCAGCCTGGGATACACAGCAAGACCACATCTCAAAATACAAACAAACAAAAATACTGTTCATCAAAGCTCAAACCAGACACCACCCAAGCGCCCTCCAGAAAGAAGGGATAAGTGAATCCCTGTGAAATACTCCCACAGTGGCACAACTAATGCACAGCCTCTCGTGCTGTGGGCAAGCCTCCCAGGTGTACTGTGAGTGGGAGATTATGTTCAATATTATTCACTGATGGACACAACATGCATGGCATAGGAGGTAGGGTAGTGACCCAAGGGCCCCATGAGGACCCTTGGAGAGCACTGTGATGCTCAGAGTCATAATCTGTGCTCAGTTTGTAGAAATACATAACGCTGCACCCTTGCAAATGTGCACCTTTCTCATGGCTGCTAGACTTCAAGACCAAAATTATTACATCAATTCCTGGTCCAATGGGCGTCTGGTAAGAAGATGTTATAGCCTGGTGGCTTAGAAACAACACGAACTAATCCCTCACAGTGCTGGAGGCTACGAGGTGCAAAATCGAGGTGCAAAATCAAGGTGCAAAAGACCACTGTGCCTGCAAGGCCTGCTTCCTGCTCCCAGAGTCACTGTGCCCATGTGACAGAAGGGACGAGACAGCTCTCCCCGGCCTCTCTTATGAAGGCACTAACTCTAGACTCAGGGGCCCCACTCTCAGGCCCTGACACCTCCCACAGGCCCTCTCCTACTACCCCACCTTGGGGTAAGATCTGACATAGGGATTTTAACAGGACATACATGGTCAGGCCCTGGCAGCTGCCAGCTGTATAACGAGGACGATTTTCCAAGACGGATTTCATTCTTTCTCTATCCCTGGACCCTGAGCTGCTTTGCCTGGTTTATGCTCTGCCATTCGTGGCCCACAAGCCTGTGATCTCTCCACAAGCGGCCTCTCTGTACACGGTTTGGCCCACATGGGAGGTGCTGCCCTAGCAGCCACAGTCTCTGTGTTAAGGTACAAAGGCTCTTGTACGGCCCCTGCAGCATGCAACAGCAGCCCCCGTGGCATCTGCCCCACCCTTCCTGTTCTCCGCAGGAGGCTCCAGACACCTCAGCTCCCCTCCCACCCGGCCTCTAGGCTCATGCAACACTGCCTGCGTCCCAACCCCCGTCCCCGACCTCTGTCCACCCTGGCAGGCCTGGAGCGGCTCTGCACTTGCATATACTAAACAGCTCCTGGCCTCGCTGCCGCTGTCTTCCAGAACCCGGCCCACGCCCACCCTCAGCCGCTCATCAAACTCCTCTGTGCCTTGAAAACAGTCCTTTGTTCCCAGTCAAGAGGAATCTGCAACTTCATCAGCGCAGACCCAGCCTCCCACCATCCTCCTGGGTGAAGCCTAGGAAGGGAACAGGACGCAGCAGGCGCAGCTAGAGATAAAGGAGCGGGGCAGCCAGCAGGCTGGATGGATTCAGGGTCAGGGTGCAGCGGTGGGCCTGCTGGGACCACACTGTCCCCCTAGCTGATGACCTTGGGCCTATCTGGACCCGTGATCTCCCAGGGCCAGGGAGCTGGACCAGAGGATTCTGTGTACTTTCCCAGCTCTGAACAGGCCGAAGCCTAACCAGCCATTTGCACTGAACAATGTCCTTGTCTCTGGGTCCTGAAATATTCGCTTTCTTTTCCTCTTCTTTGGTAGAACTGTGGGGGACCGGCGGCGGCTGGAAAGATAAGAAGTATGAAATATAAATGACCGGGGCTGGGGATTTAGTTCAGCAGCATAAGCGTCTGCCTTGCAAGCAGGCAGTGGTGAGTTCGATCCCCGGTACCGATAAAAAAGGAAAAAAAGACCAAAAAAAAAAAAAAAAAAGAAAGAAAGAAAGAAAGAAAGAAATATAAATGACCTTTATTTTGAGAATGTGAGGAGAGACATCCCCGATCCCCCGTGGTGCGGCATCTCCACCCCCGGTCCGCGATCTCTCCGTGGAACACGTGGAGTGGGGGCCTATATGTGGCTTAGGTTAGGGGTGGTGCCTGAGGGGGCATTAGGGATGCACAGGTAGCCCATTGGCACAAGTTTGGCGCCAGAGGTAGATTCCTAGGGGAGGGGGAGATAGGAGCTCCTTGGCTTTACTGGCTACAGTGTCCTGTCTGGGCCCAAACCCTTTCATTCTTCTTTGCAAATAACCCATTACTAAGGTTACACTACTTATCTGTTTGTGATTACAAGCACAAAAAGTCTGTGGCTCTAAAAGTCTGTGGCTGGGCACGGTAGTGCACACCTGTAACTCCAGCACTCAGAACGCTGAGGCAGAAGAATTGCCATGGGTGTGAAGGCAGCCTGGGCTACACAGCAAGACCTTGTCTCAGAGATAAAGAAAAAAAGAGGAAATAGAAACATCTTTTTTTAAAAGAAGGAAATAAATCAACAACTGTGGTGGTGCACATCTCTAATCCCAGTACCCAGGAGGCTGAGGCAGGAGAGTCATCACAAGTGTGAGGCCAGCCTGGGTTACATAGCAAGACCCTATTTCTGAAAGAGAGAGAGAGAGAAATTTAAAAACTAAAAACATAAAAGAAAACTCCAGGCTACCAACCCCAAACCCATGCAGAGCCCTGTATCTCTGCAGAAGTGCCCTTAGCAGCGGGATTTTCCCACCTCCAGGCTACAGTCTTTGTGAGCTCTTCTGGCACCACCTGCTGGTGGTTTCAGGAACTACCGCTGAATTTGGTTTGCCACGAAGCTCTGAAAGCAGTTAGCGCTGAACGGTGGTGGGGTCGCACTAGGATAACGATGGCATTTTAGTTACAGGCACATTTACCCTATTCTCATCACCAGAACTTACTTTTTATTTTTTCCTTGCAGTGAGGAACGTAACAGGGACGTCCGAACCAGTCCTGGCACGGTAACTACGAGACTGGACCATAAGAAGTCCAGGAAAGGTCCCGGCTGCCCTCCACACTGCGAGGAGCATTACAGAGAGGGGAACAGACTCCTAGGAGCACTGTCGGCCCCATCTGTGTGGTGTCTTCTCGCTCTTCTCTGCCTCCTGGTCCTATAGCTCTGAACATCTCGCAAGGCCCGGAGCAGCCCGCAGGGCTCGCCCTCAAATTAGCCCTGCTCTGCCTCCTCCCCTGGGCAGGGACGGAGGCCCCTGTTCCCGACTGCAGTCTCCTGCAAGGAGGGCCTGGTGGGCCTGGTGCACATGCCCTTCTTTCGGAGCTGACCCTCCTCCCGAGGCTGCGAGGCTGCCGGAGCTGCCCCTCTGCAGTGGGAGGTTGGGGCAGGGCAGGGCAGTAGCCGGGCCCGGCCGGGCTTGTTTGAGCCCCTCTGCAGCAGACCCTGAAAGCCTTTTCAATTCCAGCTCCAGGGGCTCCTCTCTCTCGGGCCTTTCTAACTTCAGGATCCTCACACGGTTGTATCAGTCAAGAGTAAGAGGAAGGCCGGTCCTTCCCAGGATGAAGGAGGGGCCGGAGCAGCAATTGGTCCTGCCAGGGAGGGCAGGGCTGCTGGGGCTGCCTCGAAGCCCCCTCCCCCGCACTCCTATATAGCTGGGAGGCCCTGCTGCTGGCAGGCAGTTGGGCTGCAGGACTTCACAGGGCAGGCTGCAGGGTGCTCCCAGCCAGAGAAGACAGCCAGGTAGGTGCGGGAGCTCGTCCACCACAGACTGAAAACCACGCGGTGACTGTATGGACCCCTGTCCCGGGATGGGTCCCTGAGCCATTCTTCTCAGTAGGGCAGCCTGGCTGGGCTTTGACGCTATAATTCAATGCCAGTTTTGGATTGGCTGCTCAGGAATTCGTTCTACTCTTTAAGCCTTTACAGCACAAACTAAATTGTTTCTTGAGAATTCTGTGCTAATTTTTTTAAATTGACTCACCTAAGTCTTAATCATGTTGTTTCTCTCATTTAAGATTGCTCCTACCAAGCGGTATGGGCTGGGGACATGGGTGCGACCCTCTCTTTAGGAGACTGATGAGTGCTTGCTCTCAGGAGAAGGTGCTCTGGGTTCACTGTGGGAGGGACAGAGAGGGGTGGGTGCTAGGGCTGGAGGCTCGAGCTCACCTGGGGGCAGAGACCAGCCACGTCGGAAGCAAGGACAGGTGAGCAGGGCCTCTTCACAGCCTTGCAAGGGTGACTGGCTGTGCTCTTGGGCTGTATTTTGCCCCTGTTTATTTATTTTTGCTTTTCATCCTTGAGACGGGGTCTCACTGTGTAATTCAGGCTTCAGGCTGGCCTTGAACTTGCTGCAAGGTTCCTGCCTCAGTCTCCCAGATGCTGTGATTGTAGGAGTGCACCACCTCGCCCAGCTCCTCATCCCTCTTTTTAAATGTAAGAACCAGTGGTGCACCAGAGCGGAACATGTTAGCAGGGGAACCTTAATCACCTTTGCAATGCTGCAGGTGGGATAGAGGGTGTGGGTCTAAGCAAGGTCTCTTGGCATCCTCCAGCTCCGGCTCCATGCACTCAGCCTCCCCTGGGAGACAACCCAGGCACACTCAGCTACAGGGACGCCTCTGTGTCCCTGGTCCAGGCAGACCAAGACCCAGGTGCAGGAATGCCCCTGACGGTTGGCCCTGAGGGTGGATTTCCACAATGGCTATTGTCTTCTCAGGAACCAAAATCTGGCAGGCTCCCAGGAGGGGGTGGGCATGAGCAGCACTTTGGGTACCTGGGGGCCATCTTGAGCCAGGACTCCCCCTGGAGTTCCCAGGGCCTCCTAACCTCCCCTTCATCTCCAGGATCCCCTTCGTCACCTCCCGACCTGCCCTTGCAGCTCCCGGACTCTACTCTCTGCTTGGTTTAGGGGCCCTTATGCCCCACACCTCCTGCCAAAGCAGGGGACACAGTGAGTGGCCCCCAAAGTCTACCTCATACAGAGTGTGTGTAAACCTGCCACCTGCTGCTGTTTCTTCAAAGATAGGGATGATTCCATATCTACCCCATGTGAGAAGCAAGTTAGGCAGTCACACAGAGCTTCACGCAGGAGCTGACACGATGGGAGTTCAACAGTGAGCCATCAGGGTGAGCAGGGGGTGGGATTGAACAGGGCGCCTCTAGGACACTTTTACCCCTTGACTGGGGAACCTGGGATTCCATAATTGGAATTTGGAATCCTTCTTTTCCCCTCTGCCCTCCTCCTCTTCTCCTCATCTTCCTCTCTCTCTCTCTCCTCTCTCTCTCTCTCTCTCTCTCTCTCTCTCTCTCTCTCTCTCTCTCTCTCTTGTAAAGACCTTTAGGATCAGCTGCCAGGAGTCAGTAACTTTCTCTAACTGGAAGATAGACTGTGCCTGACACAGAGCTAATCTAGAACAATACGGGTATGGAATGGCATGAACATCCTGTCCATGGGCAGCCATGTTTAATTCCAAATTCTTTTACCTCCCAGGAACCTTTGAATGGAAAGCTTGGGAATACTAATGCAACCCTGTATGTGCTAACTCATTACTCATTTATTTTCCCATGCATGTTCAGAGGCTTCATAGTTGTCAGTTGCAGCTTCTTATCTCCTTGAGAAAGCCAAGATCAGGCCCCGAGCGGACTAATTCCCAGCAAAAGCAGAGAAACAGAGGATCTGAGCTGACCCTGTGCAGCCCAAGCACAGGAGTACTGTGGTGCTTTCGGGAAAATGGAAATGATGCAAGGATGCTTTCTTTGCTTGAAACCTGCTACACACGAGGCCTGGGCTGTGGCTCATGCTCAAGCAGTTGCCTGGCATGCATGAGGCTTGGGTTCAATAGAAGGCATACTGGGGCACACCCTGGGAGGCTGAGGCAGGAGGACTGCAAGTTTGAGCTCAGCCTGGAAAATTCAGTAACTTAATGACACCCTCACTCAAAAGAAAGAAAGAGAAAGAGGGAGAAAGGGTGAAAAAGAGAGGGAAGAAGTGGGGCAAGGAGTAAGAAGAAAGGGAAGGAGGAAGGAAAAAAACAGGGAAGACCCTGGGTCCAGTCCCAAGAAAAGAAAAGAAAAAAATCCTTGGAAGGCCCGGGAGCCCAGCAGAGATGTTAACCGCAGGTCCTTGTCTCCCTCAGACTCTGCCGTAATGAAGACGTCCCTGTGTGTGTGGGCACTGGTCTGTGTCCTGCTCCAGTGCCACTTCTCCTCTGTCGCTGCTCGGGGCATAAAGCACAGAATCAGGTGGGGCCGGAAGCCTACGCCCAGCCCATCGCAAGTCACCGAGGCACGTGTGGCCATGACCCGCCCAGGAGCCTTCATCAAGGAGGGCCACAAGCTGAACATCGACTTCGGAGCCGAGGGCAACCGCTACTACGAGACCAACTACTGGCAGTTCCCCGACGGCATCCACTACAACGGCTGCTCCGACACCAACGTGACCAAGGAGGTGCTGGTCACCAGCTGTATCAACGCCACCCAGGCAGCCAACCAGGCCGAGTTCTCCCGAGAGAAGCAGGACAACAAGCTGCACCAGCGCATCCTGTGGCGGCTGATCAAGGAGCTCTGCTCGGCCAAGCACTGTGACTTCTGGGTGAACAGCGGAGCAGGGCTCCAGGTGGCCGTGAACCAGCCGGCGATGCTCTGTGGGCTGCTCATCATATGGGGCCTCGTGAAATAAGCTGGAAAGAAAGCTGGCAGCCTCCACAATGAGCCGGTGAGCAGGCTGCAGTCACCCCAGTTCCCCCACCCCTGCCCCGTGTGTCCTGAAGGTACCAAAGAACAGCACCTTGTCAGCGTCTCCAGTATCACCCCTGAGAACTCCCCCTGGTATTTGTTCGGTGGGATTCCCATTTTCCATATTAGGAAACTGAGGCTCAGAGAGGTGAAGCAGGTCACCCAGAGTCACAGGACTCAGCCGTAGCCTAACCCTGACCCTGTGTTTGCTGCTCTGCTCCCTCCGGCCACCTTCTGATCTCTCTGTGGCTTGCAAGGCGGAGCAGGCTTTCTCTAAGAAAACAGATTTAGAAGTAAAGACCTGACCACCTGCTGTGTGCTTTGATATCTTGGTGCATGGAAGTTGAGTTTAACTCATGTCATTAAGCCCAAATCTAGTGAGAAAACTGATCTAAAATAGAAAAGAGGCTGGGGGTCAGGCTGCGAGGGAATTCAGCCCAGCCGGCTCACAGAGCAGAGGGCTGCAGCGGGTCACTGTGGCATTTGGGTTCTGTTTCACAAAAAGGGTCAGTGCTTGCTGTTCCCCTGTCAGCAATGGTCTGTGTGCTCAGAAAAGCATCCTTCAGTGACGGTGTTTGCTTGCAGTGGTCCCCTGGCCTTATGTGTATCAGTTTAGGCACATTCTCCAGAGAATTTTTAAAGAGCTTCCAGTATGTGCCACTCTCCGTGATTGCTGTCGGTCCTTGGGACACCACATGGGCTTTGGCGAGGGCTGTTGTCTCTGTAAATCACATCTCACAGCAAAAACATAACTACTCACCAAAAAGGGCAAAAGAAGTGGTGTCTTAGGTTCCACTGAGGAACCTGTGCCTGTCACCTGCAAGAGTTGACCCAGCATCTCACTAGTTTTTAAAACGTGTTTTTAAAAAATGATTCTCTTTTAAGTACAACATGAATCTCATGCTCTGGGATACTCCCACATCTTCTGGGGTCCTGGCAGGAGTGCAGAGCGGCCGTGAAGACAGCAGGGCGCAGCTGTAGCGGGTTTCACATGGAAGGAAGGCGTGCGCTGGTGTGGTTTCAGCCAGGACTGCCGCTCTCAGCTCTTCTCCAGGACACACTTGCAAAGTTTTAGCAAGGAAGGACCTGGGGCAGTGCAGCCTAGGACAAAATCTTCCCTGCAAACCTACATTCTCCTTGGGTTTCCCCTGCCTCCTTAGGTCCAGATCTGAGTGCAAAGCTGGGGAGTTAAATCTTGCATCCTATTTTTTAAAATGATAAGAGTGCTATTAAAGAAAGAAAATGTACTCAGAGTCTGAAGCTGGCCTTGGAACAGCGCGCTGGCTGTGAGTTTAATTAGAAGGGTGTGCGCAGCAGCGCCCCCTAAAGGACCTCGCATCCCACGGCGGGCGGAGCTCGAATGTGAAATTTGTTCTTAAGAGATTTTAATGGAAACCGTGTGAATTTGGACATCCTTGCTCACGTTTGACTTTGGGAGCCTGGCTTTTCACCTGAGCCAAGAGCTATGCTGCACCTGCTATGAGCAAGAAACTGTGAGGTGCTTCTGAATGATCCTTGCCCAGGTCATTTTACAATGTGAATAATTTCAGCGACCATGGCATTCTTGGCCCCCAAATGTTGGTTTTTTAAGGTCTAAGGATTTTTTGTTTAAATGAAAATGCATTAAAATTACAACAGAAATCTAAAACACAGAAAAAACCTCCAATCGTGGCATTAAATTAAGTCAGTTTTCATTTCCCTTGCAATCTCCTATTTATTATCTTCTTATACATCTGTATATAAAAATGCCTGAATTTGCTATAATAATACAGGTGAGCTTTTAGAGTCTAAATGTTTCCATTATTCAAGACTTTTTGTCCATTTTCCTATGATTTTATTTTCCTATTTCCCCAACCCCATCCCCTCCTTCCATCTTGAGGTATAGCCCCACCCCTTTTAATATGCTCAGATATATTATGCTCAGCTAACTTGTCCTTTTACATTGCTGTGTGATATTCCATGGTACAGATATACTATGGTTGATTTAATCCTTTCCTTGTCAATGGGCCTTCAGACTGTTGCCAGTGGGGTTCCCCCCCTCCACCCTGCAAATAATAAACATCTTTATATGTACAATCTTTCAATTTGGTGTTTTTATTTCTGAAGAACAGACCCACACATGTAGAATTGCTGGAACAAAGCCTGTGTGTGATTAAAACATTACTAGATGCAACCCAGTTATATTCTCACATAGCTGAAACAATTGCATTCCCTCTCAGCAGTGTAAGAATGGCGTTAATTCCAGAGTTCCTATGTCATTTCAGTATGCAGAGTTACCTCATCCACAAAAGCTGCTTATGTATTTCCTCTCCTTTGCAGAGAGCGCATCCAAAGCTCCCTAAGTAATTCTGATCCTAAGGTCCATCTGAATACCCTAAAACTGTTAGCAGTTCCCTTTCTAAACTTGGTTCTTGGCCTAAAATGTCTGGAAGAGAAACATGGAGAGAGGCAGGGATCTCTTGGGCTCCAAGCTCCTGGCACCAGGGGCAGTAAGGTTTGACCTGGCCTTTGACAAACTTTTAGCAGTGTTATTCGTGCAAGTACCTTCTTCCCAGTGATACTGTCCTCTAGGTGTCGGGATCCCTAGAGGAGCAGGTTGGGCCCACTATCACAGTGGCTGCATTCCCCCGGCCCTGGATTTGGGCAGATGATCAGATCCCAGGGCCCCTTGGGCCCCCTGGTCCAGGATGCACTGGACAACGTGAGAAGCTCCACCCCCAGGCCCAGTGAGTTTGGCTGGAGCTGCCCACAGTCCCTCCCTAAGCTCTCAAACAGCTGGCTGTGAGTGGTAGTGAGGGGGGGGCCGCACCCTGCTTCACACTGCAGTGTGGGCACGTCTCACACCTCCACCTTCACTGCTGTATACGGCTGGACAAGAACCCCGAGGTGCCACACATCCCCACATAACACAGAGGTCCCTACTAGAACACTGACAGTGGGGCCCTTGTGCCCGTAGGCAGACAGCATGGTGACAGACCACACCTGCCACATGAACTGCACTGGGTGGCATTGTGCTGAGTTTCAGTGTTGCCACCTGAAGCCCAGCCGGTGCTCTACTGAAGAGCAGCCTTCTCAGAAAGCCAGGACAGAGGCAGCCTGCCCGCCCTGCCCCCAGGCCAGGGTCATGGAGGAGGGACACAAAAATCTTGCCTTGCTGCCAGCAGCAGGACTGTTTCAGTGGGAGACAAAGGAGCCAGATCCCCCTGGGAATGAGAGACCCTGTGCACAGAGTAAGCCCCATTCCCTGCACAGTGGGGAGGAGGTACGAGCACCTGTGTCCTTGAGACACAGCCAAGCGCATTCCAGAGCATCCGACCAGCACAGAGCAGCAGGCCCAGCTGTTCCCTTTGGTGAATGGAAACTTTCACCTGGGGACGTAGGGGTTCTCTGTTCTAAGCAGGAAAAGCAACAGGAAGGACAAAGATTCACCCCGCTGGACCCCAAAACTCCAAGACCTCCTTCACACAATGAGCCTCAGAAAGCCCCAGGACCAGGCACCGGGTAACTCTGGGTTCATGTGAGAGGCCACAGATTGCAAAAGCCCCCCACACTGAGCACCCCTCCTGTTCCTCTAAGAAGACCTCCCCCAAAATGCTCATCCTTCAATACTCAAGCATCACTGTTCCCCAAGATGCCTTCCTTGTACCCTGGTCTGAAGTTCAGAAACTCCACTCAGCCACCCCGCCTGCCTTTGGGATTCCCCGATCTTATTTTCATACTAGCCCCTTTGTAGAAAAACAATGCAGATTGTTTTAATCCCAGCCGGCTTGGCTATGAACTATGGAAGGAAGTTGGCAGGAGGCCCGAGAGGAACAAGAGGAAGCCGGGACAGACAGGTCAGGGATGAGGAGCTAATACAGTGGCCCTTGCTGAGTGGAGCAAACGGGCAGGTTGGGGGTCACGGCAGGCAGAGAAGAGACAGCGGGTAGTGCGGCAGAGAATCAATCACCTGATCAGGCTCCCAGTGACCCTGTCAGGTGCATTCTGCAAAGAGGGTGCTACACACCTAGGCAATTGCTTCAGCACCAAGGAGAGCGGTTTTCACAGCAACCCGGAGTGCTGGGTCCCCACAGGGTCTGCCTGAGAGGCAGGTGCGTCCCTCGCTTTGTGCTGGAATTTCCAAATCTAAAAGGAAACCTTCTATTTTTAAAAAACTAGCTTTTGGGGGAAAAAATTAGCTTTTTGACTCAAAGCTTCTTAGCAACCAAGGATGAAATGGGGCTGGGAGCATGGCTCAGTGGTAGAATTCTTGCTGAGCACGTGTGAGTCCTCGCTTTGGTTCAGCACCGGGGAGGGAAAAAAGAGCTCATGGCATCGCTTAAATGTTATTTATCCCTCCTCTGCTCTCCTGGTGGCATAACAGAGGACAGCAGGAGGCCAAAGATTGATGGACTTTCCTTAGCTTTCAATCCAGCTGAAACAGCCACCTTGTCTAACACCCAATTTTAACAGCATTTGCAGAAGGACAGACTGCGAAAGGGGCTTCTCCTAGAATTTTACCCCTTTGTGGTCTGAAACCCTGCTCCCTCTCAGCTGCAAGGATGCTGACCTGTAGAGAAGGATGATTCCAGAAATCTAGCTGTCAGACTCTCGCTCAGAACAGACCCTAAACCCCAGTCATTTCTATGTTTCAAGCCCTCTGCCTTACACACGGCTTTCATCCAGAGTCACGGGTGGTTTTTCCTCTGGGCACTGTCATGATGCCTGCGTTCAGCACTGAGCTAATGTCCTTTGCCAACCCTTGCCTTCCTTCTACAAACACTTACTAAGGTCCTCCTGTGTGCCCATCTCTTCTGCTGCAGTCCTGACAGTGGGCAACAGAGGCCCTGACCCTGCTGTCAGGGTGTCCATGTTCTGGTGGGACATGCGCCCAAATGTGTGACCAGAGGTGTGTGGTATGCCAGTTTATGGGGGTGGAGAGTAAAGGAGAAGGAATAGATGTAAACATCTTCGCTCAGGAGCCTCCCTAACCAGCTCCTGGGCAATGCTCAAGTTAAATGCTAACTTTGTGGTCTTTACACACTTACTACCCACAAGCATTCAGCCCTGCTGAGTCCGAGCCCAGGTCTTCCGGCTGGGGTGGAACTGCTGGTGGACAGTAGCCTTCCTCCAGCTCCCTGTCCCCCATGTCCACCTGGAGAAAATGCTGCACGAGGTGGGATCAGCAAGGTGGAGATGGCACAAGGGAAGCATCACTGGAGTGCAGGGTCACTTAGCAATAAATATGCATTGACTTCCCATCACAAATCTAACAGTCCTGGGAGCCCTGCCAGGACCATGACCAATGAGTCACTGCCACTGCTTTCGAGGAGCTCACATCTCCATGGGGACATGGATAATGACCTCACAGCAGGGGCACATGCTAGACCTGGGCACTAGCAAGACCATTTCCAGGCAGGTCCAGTCTGAAAGGTTGGATGAGGGTGTCCTGTGCAGAAAAGAGACCAGATTGTTATAAAGACGAGGGTGAGGGGGCATCCAGTACACTCAGGCCATAAGTCATGCAGTCCAGTGGGGATGTGGCATGTAGAGAGGAGGCCGGAAATCATAAAAGATCCATCATGGCTCAGCGTGGCCCAAGGCACCAGAGCTGCTGGTCTGAGGACCTCACTTTGCTTAGCAATGCTGTCCATCAGAGGGGGGCGAGGAAGGTGGGAGCCATGGTCAGGCCTGCATTCCTACAGATGACGCTGGTCCCTGGGGGACTCTGGGGAGAGGAGGGCTGAGCTGAATCTGGAAGCTGCTGTTGGAGGTTTCCCCTTGGGCCCCCACTTTGTGTTGGCTCCTTGTCCCCACCACCTGCCTTCCTCCTTCTCCCCCTCAGGAGGACACTGGATTCCTCCCACTCTGGGACATCTTCTCAGGTCTCTGTGCAGCCGTACTGTGTGGTGCTTAATGATACTGTTGTATAGGAGAGGTGCTGACCTCACAGATAGCTGATTAGGGACGAACTTATTCCAGCTGGACTGTAAAAGGCTGCCCCTGAAGTATCTGTTCAAGACCTAAAGGGTAATGGTATATATTTTTAATGTATATTAAAATACAGAGTTTTAGGAGACATCTATGTGCAGTGACAAGTTTCACACACACACACACACACACACACACACACACACACACACACACACATTCCCCTTAGGCCACATAGCTTTGGAGAGTCCAGAGCCCACAGTGATGGGAACAACAGAGTCCTGGAGGGACGGACAGGCTATTGTGAGAGCTGGGGGGAGGGGAACCAGCTGGCTCTGGGAACATCAGAGACAAGACTTGGGCAGCATCCAGTAGGAGAGAACAGGTTGGCAGGGACAGGTCCTCCTCCAAGAGGGAACAACATGCCCACAGGCTCGGAGGGCCAGGAGGTGACAGTGCTGTTCCCAGGCTCAGTCTGGAGAAGTCCGGCAGGGACAGCGTGGGAGGGAGGGAGGCCATGAGGAGTGAAACAGACCCGAGGATGGGACACAGCGAACCTGGGCACAGAGAGGCTGCCAGGCCACTGGGCAGGCCTCTTTGGGACAGACGTAACTGAGCCATGGCTGTGTGCCAGCACCCAGCTGAGCCGGGGGACACGGTGGTGGGGGCCACACCCAAGAAACCCTAAGTGATCCACAGCGAGCAGTGACTTGGAGTCTTCGGCTCATTTCCTGTGTGATTACAGCCACTGGCAGGTGAAGAGGAACTAGGAATTCAAAAAAGAGTTTTTCACCAAGTTTGGAGGTGAAAAGATTCCATCATTGGGTTTGTGTTAAGACCCAGAGATTAAATGGGAAGGAGATACATTAAAAACCCACTCCTGGTCCAGGGATACAGCTCAGCATAAGGCCCTGGTTCAATTCCCAATACCAAAAAAAAAAAAAAACTCAAAATACTCCTACCCCTCAACCTGCTGGTGGTACAAAGTGCTTCAACTACTCAGAGACACTGGTTGGTGGTTTCTAATAGTTAAACACAGTCTAGCAATCCCATTCCACTCTTGGGTATCTACTCAAGAGAAAAAAAAGAAGAAAAAAACAGAAGTCCAGAAAAAGACATGCACCCAAACGCTCATAGGACTTTCTTCAGAAGAGTCTGAACCTGGG